AGATAATATTGTAATCAAGAAGAATTGGTTTAATCATTAGACTCTAATGGCAAAATATATAATAAAAGCACAATAATGTCGCATAATTCATAATATCAGATAGATGCAAATAAATAACCAATATTCGAGGTGAAAGATGAGATCTTAGCAAAAAGGTTGAGGATAAAATGGATAAAAAGAACACACTAACACAAAACCTAACTAAGGCAAAATGCAATAACAACAAGCAAAGGCCAACGTAGAGAGTACTAAATAACTAACTGTGAAATAGAAAGAAGTCTGATGGCAAATCACTACAAGAAAACAAGCAGTATTCCGACGGATGTAATTTCCGTCGGAAATTTCCGACGGCATCCCGACGGATTTCCGAGCAAAATGAATCCGTCAGAAATACGTCGGTTTATTGTGACGGATTTCCGACGGACACGGAAACCGTCGGTATTCCGTCGGAAATCCGTCGTCTTGTCCCGACAGATTTCCGACGGAAATAAGCTGTCGTATTTTTCAGACGGAATAACGACGAAAATCCGATTTTTCCGATGTCGGCAAAGTTTGATTGGTCAGCTCATACTGACGGAACTAATTCCGTCGGAAATCCGATGTCGGCAAATTTGAGTGGTTACCATTTCGTTAGCGGTAGCCGATGGGATTGGTGGGGTGTTATGTCAGAGGTTTTTGACAGATTTCCGACGGATTTCTGACGGAAATCCGTTCTATATAAGTGTCCACATTTCTTCATTTCTTCATAACACAATTTTAAAAAGCCACAATCAATAACACAAATAATGTCTTCCAGCTTTCCTAATGAAGACTATACATCAAAAATCGTGGCAAACCACCTAGAAATTCCAAAATACTCGTGGGAAACCGAAACTCAATGCGACGAATTCACTCAAGAGATACCCACTCACTCGTGGGAATTTGATANGTGCTNACCNATCNNTATTGAAGATTCTTCATCAACAATAGTGCCGGACAGCCAGTGCTTGCCCACCATCCAACACATTCCAAAATTCTCGTGGGAAACTCAATCTCAGTGCGACGAATATACTAAAGAAATACCCACATACTCGTGGGANGCTNATTCATGCTCTCCTCCCAATGTTTTGAGTCCCAAATATGATAAGCAGGCAGAATGTCCTGACTAGAAGCGTGTTCTCGAAGACGGACAACCATCTCAATTGATTGAAAAGTCA